TCGCTCACTCACTTGTTCGTTTAGGCTTATCAGTGGCTGATGCGGTTGATGGACCAGAATGACGAGATAGCCACCCACACCGCCAAGCTCTTTGCGCAGGAACTCGAAAGCTTTGAGAAGAATGTGAGTACTGTTAGCTGGTAGTACGGTTAGCTGCTGTTAGTGTAGTGCTGTGTTCGTTGTTGTATGTGCTTTGTCACTGAGCATGTAAGCGTTTAACGTATTTGCAATGTCTTTGTTGCATGTGCTCTGTCACTGAGCTTAAAAGCGTTTAACGTATTTGCCATGTCTTTGTTGCATGTGTTCTGTCACTGAGCTTATAAGCGTATAACGTATTCGTCATGTCTTTGTGCTATGCCCATTGAACCGTTTCATTACCAGTGCGGCCTGGTCCGTTACTATGATCTTATCTAACTACCGTTTGCGCGCCTGATTTGCCTTTTTAGGGCACAGTGACTGTAGATGGACATACCATGCACCTGACTGTCAGCGCCAGTCCGTGTCCCGTGCGAAGGGGAACGGGTATACTCTTCGCCATAGAAAACTTCACCAAGCAGTACTAGTATGTAGCAAGATTGACACTTGACACTTCACACTTCACACCTGAGTCTCCCACACCCTCCCATTGTATAGCACCCGTGCATACGTTTCAATTGTACTTCATATCACGTGGCAGCCCACAACGCCCATCTGTGCAAGCTGCGGATCCTGGCAGGATAGTGCCTATGGGCAAACCTCTGTTATAAGTTATCTTATATGTTATCTATTATTAGTTATATCTTATGCGTTATCATATAAGTTGTCCTATAAGTTATCCTATGAGTTATCTTTTATAAGTTATCTTATAAGTTATCTTATAAGCTATCTTATATGTTTACCTTATAAGTTAACATATAAGTTATCTTATAAGTTATAAGTTATCGTATAAGTTATCTGATACGTGATATTATAGGTGATCTTATCAGTTATCTGATAAGTTATCTGATTAGTTATCTTATACGTTATCTTATAAGTTATCTTATAAGTTATCTTATAAGTTATCGTATAAGTTATCTTATAAGTTATCTTATAGGTTATCTTATAAGTTATCTCATAGGTTATCTTATAAGTTATATTATAGGTGATCTTATCAGTTATCTCATTAGTTATCTGATTAGTTATCGTATAAGTTATCTTATAAGTTATCTTATAAGTTATCTCATAAGTTATCTTATAAGTTATCGTATAGGTTATCTTATAAGTTATCTTATAAGTTATCAGATAAATTATCTAATAATTTGTTTTATAAGATATCTTAAAAGTTATCTTATAAGTTACCTTATAAGTTATCTCATATGTTATCTTATAAGATATCTTATAAGTTATGTGTTATAAGTTATCTTAGAGGCCACATACGCACTTATGGGCCCCTCGTGCCACAGGATACTAAACAAGGCTATTGGCTCATATCATGACATTGAACCTTTGGTCCATGTTTCATTGTTTTCTAAGGGTTTTAGGGTTCTAATCGGCTGACATTGGAACATGTCATGACAGAACACATTCAGTCCACGTCCTATCAAAACCCTAAAAACCCTAAAACCCCAATTGACCTGTCATTGTACTATCTAAACAACTCCAATTGAAATGACACATGCCATTGTACTCTTGTCCTCCCTCAGCTACCAGAAGGCTCTGAAAGATGCCATTGGTCAGGCAGAGAGGGCCAACAAGGCGAAGACAAAGTTCCTGGGACACATGACACACGAACTCAGAACTCCGCTCAGTGGGGTCATTGGCATTGTGGACCTCATCATGGACACAGGTGGGTGGGTGGGTGTGGGTGTTGAATATA